TCAGTGAAGCATTAGGAACAGTCACAAACATTGAGGCAAGAAAAGCTAGATTTCAAGTCTCGATCAACGCCTATGCTCCTTTACAGTTTGAACGAAAGAGTGGGCTTTTCAAATGGAGATACCGGGAGCGTCAAGCTGACCTACAAAGATTTACAAAGATATTGCTTCACTTGTAAAATTTTATTTCATGAAGAAGGATCATGTCCCGAACTCACAAAGGAGCAACACGAGGAAAAGAAAATCCAACGTGCAGAACAAGCTCGGCAAGATATTCAGCTAACCTACAGAGCAACACTGATTCGGCAAACATGCAACGATATGCATGATAACCTAAAGATAGGACGCATATCCACTCTCTCAGTCTCTCAGGATTCTCATGATGGCCGGTCAAGGACCTTAGTTCCTCGACCAGGTTCCCATCAAAGGGAGTCGAACTCTCGGATTACAGATAGTACATATCAAAGTTGTGATAAAAGAGCTTCAAGAGAGAGAGACCTACTTCAACAACTAAGTGAGCGACATAATTCAAGAGGTAGGCAAGTCTGGAAGCGTCTGGAACACAACTCTGAAAGGGTTCAAAAAGGGAGATCTCGATATCATCCTATCATCACACCAGAGAAGAGGATCTCAGGAGACCAAGGGAGAACAGATACAACACAACTCAGAACCAGACTTGGCGACCAAAACAAAAGGAAGAAACAAGGTATCGACAGCTGGATACTCCTAACTCTAGAGTATCAGATAAGAACAGGGGTTCCGTGGACACCAGAGCATATTGCCAAAGAACGGTGACGGATATACCAAACAACAAAGTGGAGATTGGCACCAAGGCGAATGATCTTCTGATTACCTACCCTCGCGACACTGAACCTGAAACAATCGGGAAGACGAAAGGAAAAGCTCTAGCGGTGGAACTTTCCAAATCAGAAAAGCTCCAGCAGTTCTTGCAACAGAATCCCCAGCCTGGAAACCTTACTATTCGAGAACAGTCTAACCCGATAGTTCCACCGGTTTCAAAGAGCTTTGACAGCCCCAACACAGAACAAAATCCCATTGAAAAGAATATTGCTGTTACGCCGATAGCTGATGATCTGATGGAGGAACCAGAGGAAGGAGAACTCACTCAGGCTGAGATAAACAACATGATCAACGAGCTAGCGGATTCTGTTCTAGATGAAAAAATGCTGGAAAATGACGACTTACTAGGGGAAGAACTGGGAGAGGAAATGGGATCTGATGATGATTTGATAGAAACTCTCTCTTAGCTTTCGCAGATTGTTTTGCAGGATAAAGAACAAGAGATGGAGATCCAGGAGGCAAAGACTGCAACCCAAAAAAAGATGAAAAACAGACGCTCAAGGGAACACATGGACAAAAGAAAAAACCGATGGCAAGTCCTATCACGAAAGGCAATCAGGCTTCAAGGAAGCTTCAGACCTTCCGTGTCAAACCCTCACCAAAAAAGAAGTCAGGAACAGGTAAAACATCTAAACCTTCGATTTCTACAACTTCTCTCCCTCGTAATGAGGTGTTACCTTATGCTCTAAGCAAGAAATCTTCTACTGTTTTAGGTTCGGTGGTGTCCCAGAAACCACCTAGTAAGAAGATATGAATACAATTTCTAGGAAATTCAAGGTGTAGGAGCTAATCTGACGAAGAAGCATTTGGAGGAGTTGCACCGTTATTATTTACCGTCTTTTCTTTTTTTCTTTCAGAAACAAAAAACAATTATTACTTTTTGCAAGATTTTTAGATTTCTTTTGGTTATAATAAATTATTCACCATGGAGTCTGAAGGGTTAAGCGGTGGACTAGCTCATTTTTATTTTTATTTTTTTTGATGTGAATATTATTTCATCTGATAACTGGCAGATAGATATCGAGGCTACTATTGCAGGCACAAAAGTATTCATGTCCTTTGTATATGGTGATCCGGTTATCGAAAACCACAACACTGTATGGGATCGTTTAAATCAACTAAGCCTCACACGACAAGGCCCTTGGTTCATGATCGGCGATTTTAATGAGTTAGTGGGCAACCATGAGAAGCGCGGAAGGCGCAAGAGATCAAAGCTTTCCTTCTTACCCTTGAGACATGCAACATCCCAGTTTGTGATAAATGAGGAGAGGTTTAAGAGAATTGATTTAACTACCTATATCAACAAAGTGCACTTACCTTTTCGGTTAAAGGTCCATAAGTAACTCCAGAGTTAAACGTGCTTGGGCTGGAGTAGTGGAAGGATGGGTGACCTTCCGGAAGTGATTTCCGAAACCGTGTGAGTGAGACCAAAACACGGGGAAAGGTGGGGTGTTGATTGCAGGGATAGTAAACAAGTCACTAGAGCCTCTCAAAAATGACGAACCGGCCGTCGGACAGGGGTGGGGCCCACGGGCCAAGAGAGGGCGTGGGTGACTCACTGGGATGGGCGGTCAGGGTGTTATAATTTGGTATCAAAGCCAAACCCAGACAAGAGTGTGGAGTCAAGTGGAAGTGGCCTTGACTCACACCGTCAGGGGGTGACGATCCAGGTGCGCAACGAGGACGTTGGGTGCAGTGAGTGGGGGAGAGCTGTAACATCCTGGTTTGTGATAAAAGAGGAGAGGCTTAAGAGAATTGATTTGGCTACTATGTCAAAAAAGTGCACTTACCTTTTCGGTTAAAGGTCCATAAGCGTGCTTGGGCTGGAGAAGTGGAAGGATGGGTGACCTTCCGGGAAGTGATTTCCGAAACCGTGTGAGTGAGGCCAAACCACGGGGAAAGGTCGGGTGTTAAATGCAGGGATAGTAAACAAGTCATTAGAGCCTCTCAAAAATAATGAATCGGCCGTCAGATAGGGGTAGGGCCCACAGGCCGAGAGAGGGCGTGGGTGACTCACCGGGATGGGCAGTCGGGCGTTATAAGACACATGCTTGATTGCTGTGAAATGATTGATTTTCCATATAAGGGGAACTTCTTGTCTTGGGTTGGGTATAAAAGATGTCGTAAAGTCCAATGCTAGATAGAGCAGTTGGAAATGAGGACTGACATCATTCATTTTCCCACACTTATGTAAAGTATCTAAAAATTTGGGGTTCGGATGGGCGTCTAGATGGGATGAGTACAAGAAATAAATCCCTAAAGAACAACTAGAGTTGCAAGTGCACAACATATAATTGTAGTACTTAGGGGTTGAACCACAAGGGATTGGATTTCACACATTACACAATCATGTAGTTTAAAGATCTAAGCTAAATCAAACGATGCAAGGGTTTTGAGTTGTTGAGAACTCATGAAAGAAGCAAATAACATAATGCAATTCTATACAAGCAACACTATTGAATCATTAGAAAACCTCTTTGAAAATACATGGCAAGTCGATTGAAAAATTTGTTAAAATCCGATTTGTTTGAACTCAAAACACTAAGGAAGGATTATTCCACTTTCGTGGTTCCAATCTCCTATGTCTTTTATACCAATGGGCTCAGCTTTCGTTCGTCATTGTAGAGTGATACATTGATGTACGTTCCTCAATCATTACTTGAGCGTAATGCATGTATTGTCTCATTCATGTATTACTTTAGCTTTGAGCGTAATGTTGCTTCCCCCTTGACTTTCCTTTGACCCTAAACCTAATCCTCTTTGTATTTAAAGGCTCTAAGCCACGAAAAAACCACCAAGCTTTAGATTATTTTGTTTTAGTTTCTTTTAATTTATTGTCTTTTACTTTTTAGAGATCTAATCCCATCTTTGTGTTCTTGAAGCTCTTGCTTCTTGAATCTTAGATCCTGGATAATCTCTCTTGTATTTGCACTTGCTTATTTCAATAAAAGTTGTTTAATTTCATCTCCTCTTTCTTATGATGTCTCTTTTATTGCATTTGCTTGTGTTTACATTCATGTGTAGTGAGTAGTTACCCATTGGGGTTTGAGATGGGATAGATTAGAGGTTTCATATGCTTAATCCTTCTAGCTTATGGTCTTAATCTAGATTCTCTCTCTTTTGGATAGATCTTAAGGCTACATGACCACTACCCCTGGCTTGTAAGTCCTTAGGCGACTCCCCACACGAAAGTGATGGCATTCGCTGGAAAAGATCCACTAAGAGCTCCAATATCTCTTGCTCTAGACATAGAGGTCTAAGGGGTTGGATGGATTAGTTTGGGCAATGATCCTATAGCCTCCAAGGTTTGATTCTCACTGGCTAACCCCCTGTTTCTGAGATCATTCCTTGGTTGATAGCCTCCACCTTGGGAAAGGGTTGGCTAGGCATTGAGAAGCCCAATATCAAGAGAAGCCTTGATACAAGGAGTTTTAAGAGCTAGATTGATTAAGTGTAGATTCCTTTGATTGCAAAACCCTGTCTTGAACCCTAATTCTCTCTTTATCTTGTTAAAGTCGTCACCTTTAGCTTTGTTTGTCTCAACTCGTCCCTAAACTCGATCGAGCTGGTACTTTGCTCTGACTCGACTCGAGCTCTTGGTCGAGCTGACACTTCACTGCTTTGTTTACTTTTATTGCACTGCTTTTCATTTTTTTAGGTTGTTAGTGTTACTTCAAATCTTTAACTGCTTGCTTGACTTCTGGTTGTTTCATATTCTCAAAGAGTGACAAGTTTCCCATTTTGGATTGATAACCTCTTATACTTCAATGACTATGATGGTTAAGAGGAATTGATTGATTGTGTTTGCACCATACCACTCATCTTTATTACCCTGTTTGCATTCCACCTCATTTCATATCATCTTCATTCACATCCACACAAAATCCTATCATCAATTTGGCGCCGTTGCCGATTTGGGAATATTTTTGTTGCATTTGAGTTTCAAACACACTTGGACGATCAAGCTATACCACCCCTGTTCTATTGTACTGCTGGGTTTTTGTCTCTTTTTGCAGGTGTATGCGAACTCGATCGAGTCGGTCTACTGAGGACTTGGTCGAGCTAGACTTACAACGGGTAGAAAGAGGGTTCAGAGGTCACAGAGGGTACAAGAGGAACCTGAGGTGCTTGTTGCTGATACAATGGATGTACCAGAGGGGAATGGAAACCCTTTGGGCAATGGACTCGGTCGAGCTAGGCAAACTCGACCGATTGGTCAAGGAGATGCTCCAAACCGCCACCAACAGAGACAAGGGATTGTTCCACCACCAGTGCAGAACCACAACTTTGAGATCAAGCTGGGAATGATCAACCTTGTCCAGAACAAGATGTTCCATGGATTGCCAAGTGAAGACCCCATTGACCACCTTGATGAGTTTGATAGGCTTTGTGATTTGACAAAGATCAATGGTGTCTCTGAAGATGCCATCAAGCTGAGACTCTTTCCTATGTCTCTAGCTGACAAAGCTCACCAATGGGAGAAGAGCTTGCCCCATGGCACAATCACCACTTGGGATGAATGCAAGAAGGCCTTTCTTGCTAAGTTTTTCTCCACCGGTCGCACAGCCAAGCTTAGAGGAGAGATATCCAGCTTCATCCAGCGAAACAATGAGACATTCGCAGAGGCTTGGGAGAGGTTCAAAGGCTACACAAGTCAGTGCCCACACCATGGATTCAACAATGAATCCTACTCTCCACTCTTTATAGAGGATGCTTGCCTAGGTATAGGGAGATGCTAGACACAGCTAGCAATGGGAACTTCCTCAACCAGGATGTAGATGATGGCTGGCAACTTGTGGAGAACATAGCTAACTCAAATGGAAGCTATGGAGAAGAGTATGATCGCACCAACCGGAGCTCGACCCACCACTCGATCGAGTCAGACGAAAAGTTGAGAAAAGATGTTAAGGCATTGAATGAGAAGTTGGATAAGCTGATCCTAGCTCAGTCCACAATGAAGAAAGTCAACTTTGTGTCTGCTGAGGAGATGGAACCAGTCCAAGAAGGGGAGGATACACAATTTGCTGAGGTGTGCTACATGAGCAATGGGCAAGGAGGTTACAACAAAGGATACTATAATTACAAGTCCAACCCTGCCATGTCATACCGCAACACTGATGTTGCTAACCCTCAGGACCAAGTATATCCTCAACAACAAGCAGCTCGATCGAGTCAGGTGCCACAACATGGGTATGGTCAAAAGAACAATTACCAAGGACCACAAGGCACTTTCCCTGGACAACAAATGAATATCCCACCAGGCTTCCCCCACCAACCGCCCCAGCCTGCACCTTCACAAGAGAATGAGCTCAAGCAATGCTAAAGCAACTACTTCAAGGGCAAGCTGATGGGGTAGTGGACACAAGCAAGAAGCTAGCTGAAATAAACTCTAAGATCGAGAACCTCAACACAAGGGTTTACTCTCTGGAGAATCATGCTTCTTCTGTTGCTGCTGCTACAAAGCAAGGACAACTACCTGGTAAAGCTATTCAGAACCCCAAGGAACAGTGCAAGGTCATCTTCACTCAAGAAGGACTTGTTGAAGAAGAGGATCAAGAAAGGGTCATTGAAGATTTTTGTTTACTGCTGAATGATGAAGAGATTGTTGCTGCTGAGGCTCCTGGAGTCCAGATTGATCAACCAGAAGTGCATGCACCTACTGTGGCCATTCACACTTCACCAGTTGAGCTCGCACGACAAGCTCGATCGGCAGCTCGATCGAGTCCAACTCTAGCTCGATCGAGTCCGACCTCTTCTGTCCGAAAGCCTGTTTTGCTTGATCCTTACCAACCGGTTGCCGCTTCCTCGTCTCGCCTACTTAGTCAAGGTCACAAGGAAGTGATTCACAAGTTCAGAAGAGATCTCAGTGGGATTGGAATTGAGTTGCCTCCTATGGATAGCATGAGTGAGGCATTTGATCAAATGCAAATGGTCAAGGATGTTCTAGCCAACAGTGATAAAGTTTCAGAGGTCCTACAAGAGTCTACTCATCAGTTCAACCTGCTTACTTCACCCACCTTCCTACCAAAGGTCAAGGATCAAGGGAAATTCACTCTCCCTTGCACACTTGGGCATCTTGAGATTGACAATGCCTTAGTGGATTCTGGAGCAAGCATCAATCTGATCTCTCTCTCCATGGCAGAGAAGCTAGGCATTGCTGGAGCCTTGCAGCGCCCTACTACTTCAATCATGTTTGGAGATGCAACTTCTAAGTCTCCTCTTGGAGTGTTCAAGAACTATCACTTGAAAATTGGAGAATGCATCATCCAAACTGATCTCACTGTGATGGAAATGGAAGAAGAGAAGGATTTGCCTCTGTTATTGGGAACCCCTTTCCTTAGTACAGTTGGCGCTTCAATAGACTTTCACAAGCAAGAAGTGATCCTTCACAAGGTGAATAGTTTGGTGTCATATCGCTTGCAGCCTAGAGGTTCAGACTTTTGTGCCACAATTGACAGTACCAATCTCAGTTCTAAGAGTCATGGAGCTACAAAGGTTGTGAAGGAAAGGGTTGACAAGGAACCAAGAGTTGGGAAGGATAAGGATGAGAGAGGACCAAGGATTGAGAAGCCACGTCTTGAGAGGGCTAGAGTTGAGAAACCACGATCTGATAGGCCAAGAGCTGAGAGACTTGTTCAAGCCCCTTGTGTGCTTGATGAAGAGAGCCTTCAAGCTTTGTTTGATGAGCCACTAGGAAGGGCTCTAAAAGAAGGGGAGGATGCAGCCTCTAAGGCAAGACCAGGAGATAAAAGAAAGGATCCACCAGCTCAGGCCCCTTCAGTCAAGCCATCTCAGCTCACAATGACTTTGTTCCCCACCAAGTTTGAAAATGGGAAGATTGAGTACAAGATAAGGTACAAGGGGAGATCAAGGCCATTCTCTAGAGCCAAGGCCTTGGTGACTTCAGAACAGTCCAGGGACCCAACCAAGCTAAAGGAGCTTCTGTCTCAAGTCCTCACTATCACCCTTGATGGTGGGACTAGCTCAACCAATGCCTAAAAGGTAAAGGTCAAGCTATGGGACCTTAAACAAGCTCACTTGGGAGGAAGTCCCATGTTTATCCTTGTACATACTCTATTTATGCAATTTCTATCTATCTTTATGTTTTTAACCTTTGAATAAGTTAAGTTTAGGTGTCAAAGGAGCCAGCTCGACCGATAGCTCGATCGAGCTAGAAACCAGGGCAACTCGATCGAGCTACACAACTCGACCGAGGTAAGTTTTTGAATTTCAAATTCATAACCGTTTTCTTGGTCAAGGGAGTGGGTCCCACAAGCTGATTTTGGTCCCCCACTACCCTAATTGATCAGAGAATCCCTAGCTTCTTGTTCCCTCTTTATTTCATCTTTTAATCTCAACCACACATCTCAAACACCCCTCTTCCCCATAACTCGATCGAATCCACCTCTCTCTCTCCCACATCTTAAAATTTCTGAAACTCATCCTCTCTCTCTTCACCACAAGAAATCGAATTTCAATCTTTCTCTCTTAAGTTTTTGCGATTTCTCTTGTTCTTCATTGTTTTGCTTGGGTTTTAGTTTACTGCTCTTCAATTCCATCATTCAACAAGGTATGAACCCTAAAACCCTTGATTCATCCATCTCGATTTCACTATTGCTTGTTTCTCTTTGATTTTTGATTGCATGTGTCCCTTGTGGACTTGTTCTTGAGTAATTGCTCATATTTCGCCTCTGCTGTATAATCTTGTTAGTTTGTTTCACCTCACCTCTGTTTTGCCTTTAAACTTGTTGCATGTGCTTGAAAATTGAATTTGAGTTTGGTTTGGTTAAGATGCTTAGTCTTTCACTAGAATTGCTCATTGTTCCATTTACTAGTTGTTCTTGGTTCAATTTGATTGATTAGCATCTTTCCAGCTCTTAATACTTGAATTAGGTTTGGTTATACTCTGTTTTCACCCAACTCGATCGAGTTTGTCACTCGAGTTTTTTGACTCGATCGAGCTGAGTGTCGAGTTGACCAAACCGATCATTACAACTCTAATTCTTTGTAATCTTTGATGCATTTCAGGTACTTTAGTGAAGAAACAGAGTAACAAGGATGACAAACAGTGAGGGAAGCCGCTTCACAGAGGAGAATGGTTGAGGGTGAATCAAGCAATGCAAGGGAAAGAAGGCTTAAGATGCAAGCCGATTTGAGAGGATGGATCAGAGGATGGAAGAATCTGATGCAGAGGAGTATGTCTACTCTGAGGACAGTCTGAGAGTGAGAGGTTGAGGGAAGAAAGGAGAACCAAGAAGAGGAATGACCCATTAGTAGTGAGAGTGAGCAAGGAGAGTTTGAGATTGGAGTGAACCTTGTTCAAGAGGAGGGAAATGGTTCTCCAATGAAGAAGGAAGTGATGAGACTGAGAGTGAAGAGGAAGGAGAAGAGGTGAACCAATTGGTTGATGAAGATGACCAAGAGGGAACCAAGATGAGCCAATGGAAGAGGCTGAGGCAGAGCAAGAGGAGGATGAGCTCCCCATGTACCAAGAGCACTACAATGCTCTCTTCTCCATGGACTTTGTGGAGACCAAGTACCCACATGATGACACCATGAGGATCTTGGAATCTTTGAGGATGTGGAGTTGGTGCTCAAGAACATGCAATTGGCCAAGTTCTTCTCACCGCATGGAGTCTTACAAGGAGCTGACTTGTGAGTTTTTGGCTTCGATGAGCATCACAGTTTGATGAGCTCGATCGAGCTGAGTTGGACCAAGGCTGGGGGATAACGTTCTTGGCTAAGGGAGAGAAGAAGATGGTGACCTTTAGGCAGCTTGAGATCTGTTTGGGTTCACTATGGAGAAGGTAACCAATGGAACATCAAGGAAGAAGGAACTCCAAAGAGTTGGGCTACAATCGCTGAGGGGTACTCTTCCTCAAGGTCCAAGGCTGCTCAGATCAGGAGCCCAGTGCTTAGATATGTGCACAAGGCACTTGCCAACACCTTCTTTGCAAGGAAAGCCACTGGACAATCAATGAGGGAGAAGTGAAGCTCCTTGACATGGGAATCAAGCCCTATCATCTCACGCACAAGGATGGGAAGAAGATCAGAGGAGATAGGGCACACACAGGGAATCTCATGCCTCTCCTTGAGCAGCTCCAAGCCTACAAGGTCACAGCTTACAACACTAGGCACCAAAGAGGAAGAAAGCTTAGTGTTGGAGGGGTGATCACACCAATTCTTTGTGCAGCTGGAGTCAACTGGACAAGAGAAGGTCTACTCCACCAGGTTGGATGGACATCAAGTTTTGCAAGACCAACCTCCTCATTGAGCACAAGGAGTTGGATGGGAGATTCCAATTCAAGTTCACCCACCCCATTGGCTGGACTCTCCAAGCTTCTCCTGCCCAACCCTGAGCTCACCACGGTCTAGGAGGTGAGAACATTGATTTCAGACCCCCTGTGTACACTTTGGTTGGGCATGAAGAGATTTGCAAGAAGAAGAGATCGAGCTCGATCGAGCTGAGGATCGAGCTGAGGCTCAAGCTGAAGATGGAGTGCAGGAACGCTGACTTGGGTGAGCCTGAGTGCTACTACTTTGAGGAGTATGAGGCTCCAAGGATGAACCCCTCTGTTGTGGCTGCCCACAAGAGGATTGGACTTCTCCAAAAGTTCAACAAGTGGCAAGGGAAAGCCATGGAGAAGATGCAAAAGTCCATGGACAAGATGGTGAGCAAGATCAAGAGCTTGGAGAAGAAAGTTTCTGGTTCTTCAAGCAAGAAAAGAAGGCACCCAAGGCCCCACTTTCCCTAGGAGTAGGTCACTCCTCACCACTCAAAGGAGGCTCCCTGCCCAAGAGCCTCACAGAGCCTCTTCTTTCGAGCCAAGGGAAGGAGAAGACAACACGCAGAGAAGGAGGAAGACTTCCAAGGCCAGACGCTCCAGCTCGACCACCGGACTCGATCGAGTCCAAACAGAGGAAACTCAACTCGATCGAGCTGAGGGTCGAGTTGACCTGGAGGAGCCCCTGTTTGAGGATCCTGGATTCGAGTACGATCAACGCAGTACCAGGACTTCTCCCAGACCAACTGGACCCCTACAACAGCTTCGAGCAAGCACAGCTCCTCCAAGGCCAAGGGAGCCACACACATTTCAACGATGAAGAAGAGGAGGAAGAGGAGCCACAAGCTCGATCGAGTGAGCCAAGAGGCAACCCCAGTTGCATGGAGTGCTCCTGATGGCCGTCTACCATCTCCAGACCACGACCTAGTCTCCCAGTTCTTTGGGGGCACTGAGGTATCCAAACACCAACCCTTGTATATACCATTTCATATTTTCTTGCATTTGTTTTGTTTTTTCTTGGTTTTGCCCTCTCACTACAAGAAAAATACCCCTTTTGCGACGGAAATTCCCATCGCAATTCCATCGCAAATCACCATTTGCGATGGAATTGCGAGAAACAAGATTCCATCGCAAATCTTTCATCGCAATTACATCTCCCTCGCAAATCCGTCGCAAATAAATTAAAATTTAATTAAAATATAAATTCAAGTATAATACAAAAATTCAAACATAACATATAAAAACGTTCAAACAAAAAACTAAAATTCTTCAGACGGTGCATCCACTAATGTATCTCCTCCGCTTGTTCCGCCCTAGCCCGCTACCAGGTTCACGAGAATCACCTTTTCCGTAGTCCACGTAACTGTTTCGTTCCCCCATCTGTCATACCTCAAAAACAATATTAAAATTAGAAATGAAAAAAATCAGAAAAAAAAAATATTCTACAAAAAAATATATCAACAACATTCAGCAAGTTATGTACCAGTAATTACCAATCGTATTAAAAAAATTATCAATCTCAAATTTTATGATAAGTTTATTCTAATTTTAGTAAAACTATGTAACAATTTTTGAAAAATTAATTGTAACAATCGTAACTTTATAACAATTTTAAAAAACTCAATTCAAACAATTTTAACTTTCAAATATCATTTCTAAATAAAATAGATTTAATTAGCTAATTATTTTCAATGATCTAACAAATTTATATACAATTTTGTAATACAAATTTAATTAAAACAATACTAAAATCTACATTATCTAAATGAACATCTAAAATTTTCTATTCTTAAACTAATCTAACTACCTAACAAATTAAATTAAAAAAAAAATAGTGAGGAAGAATTCATATTACTAGATCTGGGAAGTGGAGATGGCAGCAGTGGAGACGGCGGCGGAGAGGAAGAGATCTGCGGTGGTGGCGGAGAGCGCGGCAGCGGAGAGCAAGCGATCTGCAGGGCCGGAGAGAGAGAGAGGAACACGGCTGCGGGAGAACAAGAGTGGTGGGAGGAGAAGAACACGGCGGCAGAGAGAATGAGAAGGATAAGCGGTGGCGCGGAGAAGAGAAGGCGGTGGGAGAAAAAAAGGAGAGGAAGAAGAGAAGGAGTAGTGCCAAGAAGAGAAGGAGAAGAAGAGGAGAGGAAGAGATCGGGCGGAGAGGAGAAGAAGAAGAAGAGGAGAGGAAGAGATCGGGCGGAGAAGAGATGGAGAAGAAAAGAAGACTATGCGGCGGCCAAAAAAAAAGTTTGATGGGATTATATATAGAACTTAAATGCCATCGCAATTCCATCGCAACATTGCGACGGAATTGCGACGAAATTAAAAAAAAAAAACCCTAATCAAAGGACGTGGTCGTCGCAAATCCGTCGCAAATTGCGAGGTATTTGCGATGGAAAATATAGGAAACCCTAATTTGCGAGGGATTTGCTACGGAAGTGCGACGAGTATGCGACGGATTCGCGACGTTTTTGCGACTAGTAATTAGGTTTAGGGTTTAGGGTTAAACAAGCTTGATTACGAAAGAAATGCCTATAAATAAGTGTATATGAGTATGATTCAGATTTCACCACCAATTTCATTTGCATTATGTTATATGATCTCTCTTCTAACAAAAACTTATGTAATGTTTAGCTAGTACTTAGTGAGTTTCATTGTGATGATTAAGTAATGATTTTGATAGAATATTTATTTTGCGTTTTTCACGATCATGTAGGATTTTATACATTGTAAAATAAAATTAACCACAATTCCTATATCATTCAGTCTATTATTTCGAAAATCCTACACCCTAAACCTTAATATACTCTAAACCATCGTAATTCTATCGCAAGTTTGCGATGGATTTGCGATGGCTGTGAGATTACCATCGCAATTCCATCGCAATATTTCTATGGATTTGCGAAGAAAAGATACGCAAATTGCAACTTAATAGCAAATATGTCGCAATATTGCGATGGAATTGCGAGAATGCATAGGTTTTAATTAGGGTTAGAGTTTTGGGCTTTTAAAATGGCGTAATCAAGGAAGTAGATATTGAAATTTTTAAGATAAATTTAATGAAATACAATGGCAAAACCCTTATTCAATCAAAGTCATTTTCAACATCATTTTCAAATACATAAGAGTTTGCATTATGTCCATTTCATCATCATCAGTATCAGGCTCCACGAACTCATCGGACTCTCCATCTTCACTTGAATCGTCAACAACGTCTTACACTTCTTTGTTCATTGGCCTATGCTTTGCGACGGAAATATTTTAACGCAAAACCATTGGAAAGTTGCTACGGTTAATTGGAAACACAAATCTCTCGCACCTTTGTGACAGATTTGCGGTGGATATCTTTTTAGTAGCAAATCGGTCGCAAGGTTGTCGCAACGTTGCGACGGAAATGTTTCCATCGCAAATATTTCGCAAGATTGCGAGAGATTTGCGATGCGTCTTCGTGTTATAGCAAATTAGTCGCAAGTCTGTCGCAAACATGCGACGGAAATGTTTCCATCGCAAATTTGCGAAGGATTTGCGACGGCTTTCGAATCCGTCGCAACTTGGTCGCATTATTATCGCAAGTTTGCGACGGAATCATTTCCGTCGCAAAATTCCGTCGCAAATCGCCTGTTTTCTTGTTGTCTTGAATCTTTCACTAAATTTTTCTCACACAAGGGACTGTGTGATTTAAGTTTGGGGGAGGGTTCAAGAGATGATTTAACCTTGTTTTCTTTGTTCTTAGTTTTTCATTTATCTTTTGCATAGAAAAACCAAAAAAATCATAAAATTTTCAAAAAATCCAAAAATATTTTCATCTTTTTGCATTCATATTTGTTAGACTTGTTTAGGATTGCATTTTTCACTTGCATTGTTGATTTGACTTTGAAAACTTGTCCATCTTTTGCGATTTCTTGAGTGCCCTGTTTTTAGATTCTTTTGTGCATTAGGGTGAGATTGATTGAGCAGCAAGAACCATGTTTATCTTGATCATATCACTGCATGCACATCTCATTCAACCATTGCTGTGATTTGATGCATTTCCCTATCTATTTGAACCATAACTTGATCTTTAATTACCAATGCTTGCATTTGATTTCAACTCATGGCTACCACATACATATCTGGACATTCTTTACCATTTTCATATCCCTTTTGCTTGTCCAGATAGCTGATCTCTATCTTTGAGACAGTTACCACACCTTAAACCTAAGCCTTTTCATTTCAAACCCCATATTATCTCTTGTGCGAATGTGAGAACCTTTCTTGGCTTTGCTTAGCATAAGGTGTTGTGTTTAAACCGGCAGGGGCAGTAGTTCTAGTTGTCTAGTTCTCTTGGGATTGTTTTCAGGCTAAGTTTGGGGGTGCCAACTCGAGCTCGATCGAGTTGGGTGTAAAAACCAGAAAAGTGGTAAAATTGGGAAAAACCCAAAGGAAAAAGAGTTTGGTTAAGTCCAGGGAGTTGGCAGTGTTAAAAAGGGTCTAGTAAAGGTTTGGGAAGTTAAAAAAGGAAGTAAAAAGGGTTCTAAGTAGAATGAAAAGAAGGCAAAGCCTCAAGTGTCCAAAAAGGAAAGAAAAGTTCCCTAAGTGTTTAGAAAATCCCAAACCGCTAGATGTTACCTCAAGAAGCCTCTCCCTAGGAAGTTCTTAAAAGAAAAGTGAGCAAAGCTCCTCAGTTTCAAAGGCGAAATGCCAAAAAGGGTAGTTAGGATTTTGTTCTAAAAAGCTCTAAGTGTTGAACTCGATCGAGTTAGGATTAGGCGGCTCGAGCTGCTGTTCTTGCATCATCTTTGGTTCTAACACTTAGCCTTCTGCCAAAGCAAAGCCACTTTCTTGAGAGATCCCTGTTACTAAACCACCATACAAAAGAGACCCTCTTTGTCTCTTAACCCATAAACCCTTGAAACCAAATGAGTTGATTGATCTTGCATGTTTTTGGTTCACTGTTTTTGCTTAATGAATGTTAAAGGGATTTGCTGATTTGAATGCATTGTTTGAGTGACTGTGAAGTGGGATTGATGTTGATAAGCATGGTTAAATCTTAATGAATATCTCTCACCTTGTTGCATTCTAGAATCTCTAAGTTGGACATTTAGCAAATCGCTTTTGAGGACATGTTTTTAAGTGTTGAATCAGCTTATTTTCAAACCTCATCTCTTTCTTGTTCTATTTGTTTGCTTGAGGGCAAGCAAAGTTCAAGTTTGGGGGTGTTGATGTACTTGCATTTTACATAGTTTTAGCACATCTTTTATGCATCTTTTGCATAGTTTTAGCTTCCATTTGCATCATATCTTGTTCCTTTTCTCTTCTTATGCATTCATGTTAGTTTTAGGTTGCATTTGCATACATATGCATGTTTGGTCCTTTGAAATAGGTCTTTTGGAGCATTCTGGAGCATATGGGACATAAGGAGCATGGAGGGACTTGGCACATGGAAGCAGCTCAACTGGATACGCAAAGGAAGAAGGGAGAAGCCATCTTGAAGAAGACCAGCTCGACCGTCTACTCGACCAACCGGTCGAGTTCCTCAACTCGACCGGCCAAGCTTCAACTCGATCGAGCTGGAAGTCAAAGTCAAACCCGAAAAATGTTGCTTCCCCCTTGACTTCCTTTGACCCTAAACCTAATCCTCTTTGTATTTAAAGGCTCTAAGCCACGAAAAAACCACCAAGCTTTAGATTATTTTGTTTTAGTTTCTTTTAATTTATTGTCTTTTACTTTTTAGAGATCTAATCCCATCTTTGTGTTCTTGAAGCTCTTGCTTCTTGAATCTTAGATCCTGGATAATCTCTTTGTATTTGCACTTGCTTATTTCAATAAAAGTTGTTTATTTCATCTCCTCTTTCTTATGATGTCTCTTTTATTGCATTTGCTTGTGTTTACATTCATGTGTAGTGAGTAGTTACCCATTAGGGTTTGAGATGGGATAGATTAGAGGTTTCATATGCTTAATCCTTCTAGCTTATGGTCTTAATCTAGATTCTCTCTCTTTTGGATAGATCTTAAGGCTACATGACCACTACCCCTGGCTTGTAAGTCCTTAGGCGACTCCCCACACGAAAGTGATGGCATTCGCTGGAAAAGATCCACTAAGAGCTCCAATATCTCTTGCTCTAGACATAGAGGTCTAAGGGGTTGGATGGATTAGTTTGGGCAATGATCCTATAGCCTCCAAGGTTTGATTCTCACTGGCTAACCCCCTGTTTCTGAGATCATTCCTTGGTTGATAGCCTCCACCTTGGGAAAGGGTTGGCTAGGCATTGAGAAGCCCAATATCAAGAGAAGCCTTGATACAAGGAGTTTTAAGAGCTAGATTGATTAAGTGTAGATTCCTTTGATTGCAAAACCCTGTCTTGAACCCTAATTCTCTCTTTATCTTGTTAAAGTCGTCACCTTTAGCTTTGTTTGTCTCAACTCGTCCCTAAACTCGATCGAGCTGGTACTTTGCTCTGACTCGACTCGAGTCTTGGTCGAGCTGACACTTCACTGCTTTGTTTACTTTTATTGCACTGCTTTTCATTTTTTTAGGTTGTTAGTGTTACTTCAAATCTTAACTGCTTGCTTGACTTCCTGGTTGTTTCATATTCTCAAAGAGTGACAAGTTTCCCATTTTGGATTGATAACCTCTTATACTTCAATGACTATGATGGTTAAGAGGAATTGATTGATTGTGATTGCACCATACCATTCATCTTTATTCACCCCTGTTTGCATTCCACCTCATTTCATATCATCTTCATATCACATCCACACAAAATCCTATCATCATACATGCATTATGCTCAGGTAATGATTGTTCACAAAATTCTTTAGGTCTACTTTCATAGCCTAAAATGATTTGCCCATCAAATACTATATCCGGAGATATAACAAGCTTTTGGAGAGTATATAAAACTATGATCAAGTCACTAAAGTTAGCTACTCTATCAACAAGCATTAAGCGCAAATAAAGATGGAGAACTGATGATAGGATTTGTGTGTGATGTGATGATATGAAATGAGATGTGGTGGAATGCAACAGTGGTAAATGAAGGTGGTATGGATGCAAACACAAACACATCAACAATTCCCTTTAACCATCATAGTCGTGATAGTATAAGGGTTATCAATCCATAAGGGTGAGATGTTGCTCTATGAGAATATGCAAACACAAGAAAGTCAAGCCAAATGATTAAAAGGAGGGATGTAACAACTAAACAACCTAATATGAAATGAAATGCAAGCAAAAGCAGTAAATAAAAGCAGCTCGACCAAGAGCTCGATCGAGTTGATGAGCTCGATCGAGTTGAGGGTCGAGTTGGTGTAAAAACAGAGGAAAGCGAATGAAAAGCGATAAAGGTGCAAACTTTAAGATGCTAATGCGAAGATTAGGGTTAAAGACAGGGTTTTGCAGCTAAAGGGAGGCTATACTTAATCAGTCTTGCTCTTAAACAACTTGTACTCAAGCTATCTCTTGATATTGAGCTTCTCAATGCCTAGCTAACCCTTTCCCAAGGTGAAAGCTATCAACCAAGACTTGATCTCAGAAACAGGGGGTTAGCCAGTGAGAATCAAGCCTTGGAGGCCATAGGATCATTGCTCAAACTAATCCATCCAACCCCTATGAACTCCATTTCTAGAGCAAGAGTTATTGGAGCTCTTAGTGGACCTTTTCCAACGATTTCCATCACTTCCATGTGGAGAATCGCCTATGGACATACAAGCCAGGGATAGTGGTCATGTAGCCTTAAGGTTTGTCCAAAAGAGAGAGATTTCTAGATTAAGAACATAAGCAAGAAGAGATTAAGCATAAACAACCTCTAACCTATCCCATCTTAAACCCTAAAGGGAACTACTCACTACACATGATGAAATAAACAACCAAATGCAATAAATAGACATTAAAAGATAGAGGAGATAAAGATAAACAACTTTTATTGAAATAGCAAAGTGCAAAACACAATAACAAGGCCTAGATCTAGGGTTCTATGAGCAAGAGCTCAAGAACACAAAGAGAGGCTAAAAAGTAAAAAGGGAAATGCAAATACAAGATTAATTAAAAGTTGAGCCAAAGCTATGTTTAATTCGTGGCTCAATGCCATTTATAGTAAAGCAAACTAGGTTTAGGGTCAAAGGGGAGTCAAAGGGAAGCAACATTTTTCGGGTTTGACTTTGACTCCTGGAAAAGCAGCTCGATCGAGTTGGAAACTGGCCGGTCGAGCTGGTGGGTCGAGTCCAACCAATATCGTCGTATCTTCTGAACCGCTGGTCCGAATGACATGAAACCACCTCCAGACGAAAGCTAACTCAATTATCCACAACTTCCAAGAAGAAGTCAGAGGCTGAATCGGAGTGGAAACCCTTCATTTGATACGATACTTCGGACGCATCTCACTAGCTCGACCGAGTGCGGGTCCGTACATGGGGCAGACAGAGTCTTTCCTTCCTCAACTAGTCTCCAGTGATAGGCAATGTTCCAATTAGCTCCAAATGACCTGATTAAGACATCAAACGTGCACATGTATGCAAATGCAAGCCTAAAACTACTATGTATGCAAAAGAAGAGAAAACATCAAGAAATGATGCTTTGGGTGAATGAAACTATGCAAAAGATGCATAAAAGAAGGGCTAAAACCATGTAAAATGCAAGTACATCAACACCCCCAAACTTGACCTTTGCTTGCCCTCAAGCAAACAAATAGAACAAGAAAGGAGATGAGGTTTGAAAACAAATTGATTCTTTAAAAACATGTCCTCAAAAGCGATTTGCTAAATGTCCAACTTAGAGATTCTAGAATGCAACAAGGTGAGAGATATTCATTAAGATTTAACCATGCTTATCAACATCAATCCCACTTCACAGTCACTCAAACAATGCATTCAAATCAGCAAATCCCTTTAACATTCATTAAGCAAAAACAGTGAACCAAAAACATGCAAGATCAATCAACTCATTTGGTTTCAAGGGTTTATGGGTTAAGAGACAAAGAGGGTCTCTTTTGTATGGTGGTTTAGTAACAGGGATCTCTCAAGAAAGTGGCTTTGCTTTGGCAGAAGGCTAAGTGTTAGAACCAAAGATGATGCAAGACAGCAACTCGAGCCGCCTAATCCTAACTCGATCGAGTTCAACACTTAGAGCTTTTTAGAACAAAATCCTAACTACCCTTTTTGGCATTTCGCCTTTGAAACTGAGGAGCTTTGCTCACTTTTCTTTTAAGAACATCCTAGGGAGAGGCTTCTTGAGGTAACATCTAGCGGTTTGGGATTTTCTAAACACTTAGGGAACTTTTCTTCCTTTTTGACACTTGAGGCTTTGCCTTCTTTTCTTTCTACTTAGAACCCTTTTTACTTTCTTTTTTTAACTTCCCAAACCTTTACTAGACCCTTTTTAACACTGCCAACTCCCTGGACTTAACTAAACTCTTTTTCCTTTGGATTTTCCCAATTTTACCACTTTTCTGGTTTTTACCCCAACTCGATCGAGCTCGAGTTGGCACCCCCAAACTTAGCCTGAAAACAATCCCAAGAGAACTAGACAACTAGAACTACTGCCCCTGCCGGTTTAAACACAACACCTTATGCTAAGCAAAGCCAAGAAAGGTTCTCACAATCGCACAAGAGATAATATGGGGTTTGAAATGAAAAAGGCTTAGGTTTAAGGTGTGGTAACTGTCTCAAAGATGGAGATCAGCTATCTGGACAAGCAAGAGGGATATGAAAATAGGTAAAGAATGTCCAGATATGTATGTGGTAGCCATGAGTTGAAATCAAATGCAAGCATTGGTAATTAAAGATCAAATTATGGTTCAAATAGATAGGGAAATGCATCAAATCACAGCAATGGTTGAATGAGATGTGCATGCAGTGATATGATCAAGATAAACATGGTTCTTGCTGCTCAATCAATCTCACCCTAATGCACAAGAGAATCTAGAAATGGGCACTTAAGAAATCGCAAATAATAGACAAGTTTTCAAGATCAAATGCAAAAAATGAAAATATTTTTGTATTTTTGAAAATTTTATGATTTTTTTGTTTTTCTATGCAAATGGATGAATGAAAAACTAAGAACAGAATAAACAAGGTTAAATCATCTCTTGAACCCTCCCCCAAACTTAAATCACACAGTCCCTTGTGTGAAAGAAGTTCAAAGAAAGATTCAAGAGAGAAAAACAAAGAAAAATGCATGAAAATGAGATGGTATGTACAAGGGAAGAAATTTGATACCTTAGTGCTCCCCAAAGAACTGGGAAGCAAGGTCATGAGTTGGAGAGGGCAGGAGACAATAGCATCATAACGGCATCAATCGGCCAAAATAGGTGTGGTGGGATTGGGCTCGATCGAGTCTGTGGCTCGAGTCAGAATAGCTTCCCTTTTGAACTAACTCCTGCAAGCCTTAGACAGAAACAACTACAAAGAACTTAAATGAAAGCATTATATACAAGATAGACATGGGAATTCCTCCCAAGTGAGCTTGTTTTAGGTCGCATAGCTTGACCTTTTACCTTTTAGGCATGAATGAGAGCGGTCCCGCCATCAAATGTGACAGTAAGGACTGAAGATAGGAGCTCCTTGAGCTTGGTTTGATCTTTTTGCAGCTCAGGACTGACCAAGGCATTGATACTGGAAAACGGTTTAGACTTTCTCTTGCACTTGATCTTGTACTCAATCTTCCCATTTGTGAACTTGGATGGCAACAGAGTCAGGGTAAGCTGGGATGGAGCGCTTGAGAGAGTCTGAGGCGTGATCATCTTTCTTTTATGTCCAGGAGACGCCTTCAAAGCCATACCCTCCCCATCTTTTTGAGCACTTCCTAGCTGCTCACTAAACAAAACTGCAAGACCCATCTCATCCAGAACACAAGGTTCACAAATAACTGGCTCTGTGCTGCTCTCAGTCATAATCTCCATCTTTTCAACCTCAGCAAACTCATCACCCTTGATGCTCAGTGACTTAGTGGCAATGGTTCCACAATATTTAGAGCTTGATGCCTTGAGAGGGTAAGAGACTTTGCTGTTGACATTGTGCAGGATCACTTTCTTTGTATGGAAATCAATGGAGGCACCAACAGTGGTGAGGAAAGGTGTCCCTAAGATCAATGGCACATCCTTCTCGTCAACCATATCCAGAACTGTTAGATCAATTGGGATTGTGCACTCTCCAATTCTCAAAGGGAAATCCATGACAATACCAAGTGGGGCTTTAGAAGAAGCATCCCCAAACATGATAGAAGACTTAGGTCGCTGGATCAGACTCTGTATACCCAATTTCTGTATTAGAACAAGAGAGATCAGATTGATACTTGCTCCAGAGTGCATCAACAAGTCAAGGCAAGTGACCATCCTCAGACCAACTTGTTATCAAGTATGTCCTTAATCATCTTCTTTTGGACATGAGCAGCTTGAAAA